CTTCTCTAAGGCACTTATAGTTAAAAGGAAACTGAAGGAAGATGAACAGTTACCCAGGCAAGGCGTGAAATAAGTGTATTTGCAGACTGGAGTGTATGGGTTAAGGTAGGAAGGGGTTTCCTACTTCAGAACTAAATAAAGCTAGTGTCAACCTCATGGGAAGAGGGAGAAAGTTTCGAGGGTTTTACTAGGGGCTTGTCATACATGGCTTGGAAGAGCATAAGGAGGAGCTTGTTATTCACAGTGTGATAAGGAGAAGCCATCAGGATGTTCTGGGGCAGAGGAGCATGAGATTAAAAATTAAGGGATAGCCTAATTACACAGGTGTGCTCCAGTGTCCCATGACTGGTCTTTGCAAGCATTTTATTTAGCCAATGTGATCATTTACCAAGCAGTGTGATCAATGTGAGCAGCCTAACACAGCCCCAAAGAATAGAGGCAGTGTGTGTAATGGAAAGATCTTAGGTTAAGGTCAGGCGAGCTGGCTCTTCGCTGGACATCAGGAGACCTGGCTCTTCGCTGGGCATCAGGAGACCTGGCTGCTGATCCTGCTCTACTGCTGGGCAGGAAACTTGCCCAGGGTCACTCAGCTATCTGTTTTGGGCTTTGGTGTCCTCAACTGTAAAATGAAGGGGCTGGAGAACATGACCTCTTATACCCTTTTTGACTCAAGACATCTAAGTTTCCAAGAAATCCATCTCTTGAGACTTAGTTAAGGGCAGCTGAGGTCATCAGTCTACCTCAGTGAAGAAAAGAAGAATTACTTGAATAAGAGGAAGACTGGATGTAAGAATGTTAATAGCTGAAAAATAATTTAAAAAGATGGCTATTGTTATGGTTAGTGTCCAATTGTCTCCTGAGGCCTCATGCAGTCATGGGGAGGCTTCTAGAGTTTGTTATTAATTCATGACCCAAAGCTGGCATTATGGATGCAAGTCCTACACCCACCCTGGAACAGATAATCTGCATACAAATTGAAGGAGGGGAGAGAGGCTTGCTAGCAGCTGCAGTAGATGCTCCTCCCTTTGCTCTTTGCTATTTTCTGCTGCCAAGAACAGCTGCCCTCTGCCATGTGCTGCTCTGCCTTGGAGCCAGTGAATATGGATTAAAACCTCCATGAACTGTGAGCTAAATAGACCTTCCCTTCCTTAATTTTTGGTGTGAAGTATTTTGTATCAGCAATGAGAAGAAAGTAGCAGAGACAGCTATGAAGTTTTTCTTGAAAGGAATTCTAAAAGAATCTCAAGTAAAGCATTGCCTCTGAATTGACTTGGACTCATAAGAAGTAAATGCATCATGAATGCCTCTGAGAGAATATGGAGGAGTCCAGTGACTTGAGATCATTTAAACTGGCAAATACATTGGCAAGTAGAAAAATAGAATTATATTCTAGAGGAGCATTACAATAGAAAAGAGAAAACATATATGGCTGTATTAAAAGGAATTTTTTCTTTCATATGATAGGTACAAAAAGTATTCTCATATTTTGAAAATGGAGCAATTAAGGCAAATGTTAAAATTATTTTTCCCCATTTTGTTACTTCAGAAATATTTGTGGGTTTTTTTCTGTTTGTGGGTTTGCAAAGGTTACTTTTTATCTACTTGAAAGTGAGGGACCAGCAAGATAGCTCAGAGCACTAAGTGTCTGCTTAGGCAAGCATAGGGACTGAGGTTCAATCCCTGGCACCACAGGCTGTACCAGTCCTGTCCCCAGGGTGGGCTGAGCCAACCAGAGTTTGGGCCTAGTGACACATACTGTAATCCCAGCATTGGAGAAGCTGAAAACAAGAGGGTCACTATGTGTCCGAGCTGCACAGTGAGATTCTGTGACAACCAAACACATTAAGCACAGAGAGAGAGAGAGAGAGAGAGAGAGAGAGAGAGAGAGAGAGAGAGAGAGAGAGATCTTGAGGATAGTTTAAAGTTGGTCTCTTCTCAATATAAATTATTCTAATTCTTTGGTGAAGAAGAAATTTACCTACTAAGTTAAAACTTTTAATTAGGTTTTACCGTTATGATAGGCAACCTTACTTGTGAAAAGATTGACTAATACATAATTGTTATTTTTTTATTTTATCAAGGGAATGTTAATGATATTCTAAATTCAGATATTCTGAACTTCCACAGATAATGTCAATTTAAAAATGTAGTTTTAATGAACTACTCAAATCATATTCAGATGTTTCTGAAGGATATGATCATGTGGTACAGAAGGAAGTGATTATTTTGGTTCATAGATCAATTTTCACATTCATTCCCAAATATAGTTATTAAGTGCAGTTTTCAGGCAAGATATACTTATTTAATCTGTAACAATAATACATCCCACCCTAGAATGATTCCTAGACATAGAGTTAAAGAAGCAGCAGCAGGCTGTCTGGCCAGCTAAAATTTATATGTTGGAATATAAAATACCAGTTAGTGTGTCGTAAATCAAACAGAAAAGGTGGGCAAATGGCACA